AATTATATTATTTTTATTTTGTCTTTCTTTGGTTACTACCAACCTTGACTACATTTCATTTGTTTATTAGCTTCTATACATCTTTTTTGTTGTTCCATGAATTATCTATTAAAATTGTTCATCTATTTTTTGTTGGAATGCTCTTATACTTTTAGTTTTATAGCTGTTAATTCTCGTCTCACCCAATTTTTTTTTTCCATGCCAACTTGCTCTTCTTGCTTTCTATAAGAATGACACATAATTTTCTGGCTTCTTTTTTTTTCTTGTATATAATAAATCATAAGTTTTATTTTGGGGGCTAGTTTTATGCTACACCATAAAGATTCCAAAATTGATTACAAAAATAAACAAACATAAAATAAATGACAACATATGTGTTTACATATATTTATCAATTATATGAAACCAATATCTTGTTATAAAACCTAGATCATATTTTTCTACATGTTCTGGATTTGCTATTAGCATCTAAAATATGGGCTTTTTCTAATAAATCTCTCTATAGCAACTATAGTGTTTCAGTTATTGCCGTGTAATGCATTATCCCCAAAATCTAGCATCTTAAAAAAAATAAGCAGTTAATTAACTCTTACTTCAGTTACCAAGGCGGGAGTGGGGAAGCATTTATTATTGCTTTTGTCTACAGATCAGGTGAGACTTTTTAAAATCTCTTTCAGGCCCACTTATGCATCTGCAGTCAGCTTTGCTGATCTTGGGTGGGCTCACTCATCCATTTTGGGAAGCCAGCTGGCTGTAGGCTGGCCTAGGATGCTTTCTTAGCTTAAACAACTGGCCGTCCTTATATTTTCTCCTCCAGCAGGCTAGTCTAGGTGTTGCAACACCTAAAGTGAAATCAGATTTAACCTCAAATTCTTTTGTCAGACTTAAAGAAGAAAATATATGTTCAGCTTACATTATATATATATTTTAAACATTCCTGAAAAAAAAAATTCTACTTCTAAACAATAAGAAAACAGGGGAAAAAATATCCTTGTTAAAACAGATACTATGATCTCACTCAGATGAGCCGATAATGATAAGATGCCCATTATAGGAATGACCTCCAAAAAAAAGATTATTGTTTTTGCTGTTTAACACAAGTTCACAGGGTGGAGATGGGGGATCAAAAAAGTGTAACAAAGAAACAAACAACTGTTAACATTTTGGTTTATATCTTTCTAGACATTTTCCTACATATTTCTACCAGGATATTACAATAAAGGCTTGCCTTGGGAGTGGGGAATTTGGGCCAACTAAGAAAGAGTGGGATTTTTTTTTCGTAGGTGTTTCAATTATTTTTAAGACAAATGGGTTTAAACGAAGGAGTAGACCTACTTCTCGGGCTATGTTGTGTTTTATTCATACATTCACTCACTACTTCATTTGATAAATATTAAGTACTTTCTGTGTGTCATGTACTGGGTTAGGGGACTGTTCATTATGTGGGCCTAGGGCTTTCCCCTGCATAAGCAGTGCTAATGGTATTCCCAAGAGACTTGTGGAAGGGAGAGGGCCTAAGGTGGAAGCTATTTTTGTCATCTCTATGATTTCATGGAGGTCTGAGGTGCTAGGAGGGCAGATATTTTGGTGGACAGCAGGAAGAACCAAAGGGATTGATTGGCTTTTACCTCCTGAGTGGAAAGGGAGAGGCAGATTGGGATCTGTTGAACTGTTTTCTTATTTAGCCTGGTTGGCTTTATGAACTTAGGAAAAGGTTTAATAGTTAATAAAAGAATAGCTACTATTTATTATCTGTTGTATGCCAAATAGTGTACTAGGCACATATCATTTCATTTACTTCTCACATGAACTCTGTAACTTAATAACTAACATTTTGAGCACTTACTATGTGGCAGCCACAGTTGTAAGATTTTATATGTAGTCAATTCATTGAATCCTTGGGACAAACCTGTCAGACAGGTCCTGTAATGGGGGAAATGAAGTTCTGAGAGACCTGCTCAAGGTCACATAACCAGAAGTGACAGACCAAAGCCTCTACCATATTTTTACCCACAACTGTTTAACTTATTTAATTAATGAAAAATAGTGTTTCTGATGAATAAGAAATCCTTATCTGCCACCAAATTGAATTCTGAAAGTTTGAGTGTCACTTCTTGAACACTTCTACATCAAAACCAGTAAAGAAAATATACTCTTTAAATATTTACTTAAGTTTTAAAAAAATATTTTACATTAATCTTAATTTTAGTAGAGCTAATTTCCTTTCTCATATTTTTAAAGAAAAAAAAATAACATTGCTCTCTCTCCATGGCCTAAATTGGGATTTCTTTGGCAACTAATAACCTTTCTTTGTTTTAATGACTATTTTTTTTTTATTGTGGTAGCATAATACGTAAAATAAAATTTACTATTTTAAGAATTTTTAAGTGGCATTATTAAGTACATTCACATTGTTGTGCAACCATCATCACTATCCATCTATAGAACTTTTTCATTATCCCAAATTAAAACTCTGTATCTGTTAAACAATAACTCTCCATTCTCCCCAGTGACTATCATTTTTAAAGGAGATAACTATATTAAGCTTAGTTTTCTTTATGTGAATGAGTACATAATTGTTTTAGGAATATGAAGGAAAGGGATATTTGCTAATGTAATGGCAAATGCAGAATCTACTGACAAAGGTATATAATTTGTAAAAATTGCTGAGTGGGCAAAATTCTGATTTTTCAGTTGCCCTAGGTACTTCAGTGCACTTCTGATAATGATTTTCCTTGGGCATGTAGTTATACTGATAGAAATCACATCCGTGCATAAAGAGTGAGCTTAATTATACATAACTGCATACCTAAGATGAGGTTTTACATTTTTTTACATATACTTTCTTATTTACAAAAGATGAGACACTAAATTCTAACTCTTCTCAAAAAAGTAGTGTGAGTCACCCTCAGAGCATGAGAATCTTACTCTATGAGTTACCCATTTTGCATGAAGATACTATACCTTGCTTTCACCCTCCCCATTATGGGAATTGTTTTCATTGCAAGGAGATTCCACAGTCTCATCTGGTCCTGGCTGTGACTCTGAGGACAGGGAAATGCACAAAGGCTGATTTAGGGTTTTGGATGTAGTTGGTGGCTGAGCAAAAGGAGCTGGTCCTATTAAGAATGACACTTCTTTATATCCTCAACTCATTTGTATTGAGCCTAATTATTTAAGCTCAAAACAGTAAAAATTAAAAGCAGTCAAAATGGTTCAATTGCTAATGTATGCCCCAGGCACTGTGCTAAATGCTTTACATGTATAATTTTGTTTAATCCTCACTGTCCTATGAGATAGGAATCAAATTCCCATTTTACAGATGGGAAAACTAAGGAACAGAGAGATTACATAACTTGCCAAAGGCACACAGTTAGTAGATAAGAGACTGAGGATTCGAATCCAGGCAGTCTAGAGTCCTTGCCCCTAGCTACTCTATTAACACACTTTCCTGGTCCGTATTAGGTTGACCGCAAGATTTCCTTTTAAGAGATGCAAAGTTCAAACAAACAAACCTCTCTCTCTCTCTCTCTCTCTCTCTCTCTCTCTCTCTCTTATTCTCTCTACATATCTAAGTATATACACATCCCATTGGTTCTGTTTCTCTGAAGAGCCCTAATACAGTGAGTATATCTTTAAGACGTTCTTGTTCAGGAACCACTTATCTTACCAGAATTTGTATTTCCCAATTTAAGTCTCTATAAATTCCTGCCTTCTCCTTAGAACTGGTCTCTCTTGAGAGGACCAGTTCTCCAGCGCTTAACTCTCATATTTACTCTTCTTCTCACATGGTCATGAGAAGTCTTCTTTCCTGAGTGTAATTGATTTCGCTGGTGGTTAGGATAGTTATGGGCTTAAGTGAATGGGTTCTAAGGTGAGAATGACTCTCTACCTCCTCACAATTCCCCAGCCCTCTCAGGAAAATAGTCATGTCTAAATTTCTGAAAGAAGTTTTAATGCAAGTGAGGGGGACATTTTTGAACAGGGAGAAGTGTCGATGGAGTGTGCCAGAAATTGAGGAGGTTCAGTGCCTATGTCCCAGGGATACGGGTTGTGGTGATCCAGGAGATTTCAGAGGTACCTCAGAGTAGCTTCTGGCCCACTCAGCCTCTGGTCTCCTCCACACTCTAGCAGGGCCGGAAATGCTCCCCTGACTCCTGCTCATGGTTCCTGCTCACAGGTATAGACGTCCACACACGACTCACAACGAGGAGAGGTAACATTTCCTGGGAATGTTCCTAACCCCAGAGAATGTGTTTGCAGAAAGTTTTCATGATTTTCCTGAGTTACATTCATGTTTCAGGAACAAGCGCTTTATATCTGTAGGTGGCACCTTTGTGAATAATTTGGTGAACTTTGAGTGCCATACGCACCTCAGATCAAGAGGTAGCATCCTACCCCAAATTATACTTGAGGCCTCAGTCTACTTCTGATCATAAACTTCCCTGCCCCCCGCCTCCCCCCCACCCCCACATCATATCTCCTATTGAGGTTAGCAATTTTTACTACATTGCACTGGAATAATTGTACCTTAAGTTACATGAAAAATATTTTCTGATTTTCACACTGAAGCACAGTCTTTATTTCAAAATGGGGACATAATATTCGGCATGTCATTATAAGGTAGCTCCTTTTAATATCAGTGCCAGTTTGCAGTTGAGTCCTGGGAAGGATTTGTTAGGACATGTTTAAAGTTATATAAATAAAACTTTATTTATATGAAGACCAGATTTAGGACGGGGGACCAACTAAGGTAGCTGGAGATATTCTTTTACTCCCCAAGGTACTCTTGTCTTCCTTTTTAGCCCCTTTTTGTGCTGTGATTACAGTGTAGTACATACCGTTTTATCCCATTCTGAAAACACTGTCCCATTTGGTCAAAGCTACCACCTGGGCCACACCGTGACAAGAAAAAGAGGTGTTTTCAAATGAAACTAATCCCAGGGCAACCAGAATTGGCTTGTTTTAATTTTCTATTCTTTATTTCATTTTAATTACAGCCGCTTGGAGCCAGTGACTATTTGGAACTATCAAAAAATTTTGATACAATATTTTTGAGAAACATTCCACAATTTACGCTGGCAAAAAGGACTCAAGCTCGAAGATTCATAACTCTCATTGATAACTTTTATGATTTCAAGGTAAGGATCTAGTGCATTTTCTCAAAACTCAACATTTTAGACTGTGGACCCAGACTGCCTGGGCGAGAATCCTGGCCTACCACTTAGTTCTCTTCCATGTGCCTCAGTTTTCTCATTTGTAAATCGGGGTAATAATATTTTTGACTTCAGAGAATTGTGAGGACAAAATAAGCTAATTCATGTAAAGCATTTGCAACAATGCCTGGCATAAGCCGAGTGCTGTGTAAGTACTGTTAGTAGTGGTGGTGTAGTAAAACTCCCATCGTAAGACTCTCTGCTATATTAATGATTTTATCATTCAACTAGACGTATCCATGTGCTTTTTCTATGACGAATTACAACACAATGCCCTACCTAGACTGAGTGCTCAATAAATCTTTGTTTCATGAATAAATAATTGGATAAAATAATGAATGAACAAATGAATGAATGACTATAGAACCCTCCTCAGTGTTGGAGCTCTCTCTCCCTATAACCCAGAAGCCCCAGTAACTAGCATATCTTGTTGTTGTTGTTGTTGTTGTTGTTGTTGTTGTTGTTGTCGATCTATATGTTTTAGCATGAATTTCTAAGCCATTGTCCGACAGAGGCAGTATTGCCTAGTGGTTAAGGTGTGGGCATGACGGCCAGCTGTCTACCTTGAGGATCAGCTTAACCTCTTGAGATTCGATTCCATTCTGTAGATAAAGTGGGTAACAGTGGTACTTACCTCATACTTGTGAGGATTAAATGAGATGTAAACACTTAGGATTTTTATCTCGTGGCATATAGTAAGCTTTCAATGAATGTTAGCCACTATTAATAGTACATATCTGTACATATATATTTATGGTAAAAGTATAAGTGCAACTTCAAATTAGAATTAATTTAAATATTATTTTACTGTTGGATACAATTTTTCTCCCTATTTCTTGTACAGAAATAGAGGAGCGATTCTAAAACTGAAAGGACTTTAGAGGGAGAAGGAAAGTACCAGAATCTGCTGGTAGGGAGAGGGGAGACTTCAATGTTTCATTTTTTCATTCATTTAACAACCTTTATCATTGCAGAGCACAGTGCTAAATGCTAGAAATTCAATGCCAGACAAAGCCAGATGTCATGCCTGTCTTCATAGTGTCAGAGAAACAATCAAATGTCTGCAGAACTAAATGTAAAGTCACCACTGTGGGATGATCTCCTGGAAGGAGAGAGAGGAGTATGGTGCTGTGACAGACTGAGGGAAGAGCAGACTTACCTTCCGGGCTGGGTAGTCCTGCCGAGGACCACCTGCTTCAAAATACCTGGGCTTTAAGATCTGGATTCCAGAGCCCACCCCATCTGGCAGATGAGGACCTGGGATGGGGCCTAAAACCTGCATGTTCACAAGCTCCTCAAGGGCTTCTTAAAATGCTGAGAAGTGGTGGCTGAACTCCAGTGCAGAGTGAAAAGGGGTCGCCAGGGAGGGGAGTTTGCAGCAAAGGCTGTGTGACAGGCCTGAGCCTGAAGGGCAGCCAGCATGGCTCTGGTGCAGTGCTGCGGGGAGCCTGCCTTAGTGAGTGACCTCAAAATCTGCTGTGCACTCCCATGGACCCGGGGACATGTGGTCAGGGAGTCAGGACAGGTGGGAAGCTGAGAACACCAGAGCTAGGGTGTTCTCCTGGGTCACTCCTGAGAGTCTGCTTCAAAGTGATCACATGGGGTCTGAAATAGAGGGAGTGAGCTTGGAGGTGGCACCCTGTTTTTAGAGGGCTAGTGCTTTAAGAAGAGAGTGGTAGAGGGGCATTCGTAGGTAGTTCTTAGAGTATAGGATCGATCCACTCTTTTTTTTTTTTTTTTTTTAAATCTTTCATCTAGGAATACCTTAAAGAAAGCTTATGGTCCCCACCCCCTAGTCTTACCTCACCATGGCAGTTTCACTTCTTAGTGAGGAAAAAAGATTTATCTGGCAATAAGATAGAACACCAAAACCGTTCTCCTAACGTTTGCTTGAACTAAATCACATATTTATAATTTAATCTCTCTTTTAAAAGAGTACTCGAAATTATTTCAGAAATTGGGAGCTTTAAGCAGATATTATTCTGAAAATATATTCATGGAAATTTGTGAAATTAGGGTATTTTCAATGGAAAAAATTGTCATTTGTGATTAAAAGAATTTATAAGAGAAGGTAGAGGCCATTTGGAAATGGAAAAGCTAATCCCAAAGTACATTAAATACATTATTTAAAAATATTGAAATATTTATTTAAATAATGATTTTAAAAGGATAACTTTGAATCTTGGAAACAAATTCAGGACTCTTTAAACAAAAAGAAGAGTATGTTTTATATTTATACTAGTAGATGTAAAATTTATAAAGCTATAAAAGTTATTTTCAGTATATGATCACATATGCACATTCACTCAAACACGTATGTAGTCAAGAAATTTTAAGTAAAATTTAGTCTTTTTGAAGAATGTCTTAGCATGATGCTGATATAAGTGTAGGTTCTGGAAACTTAGGGTGTAATTCTAGTAGCCATGCCCTGAACTTACCTGTCCAGCAAAATGGTAACCTCTTTACAGTGAGTCTGGGGAGCATCTTCTATGCACACAGAGACAGGCTCCAAACAGCTAGGTATAAATGTCATCTTTGGGGGTCATGGTCAGACCATTGAACTTTGAACTGGAAGAGCTGAGCTGGCATTACAAGCCAAGACCTTTCCAGGCCTGAAGTTACCCAATAAAACCTTTGCACCCTACTTCACAGGGGAGTATAAGCTGTGTGAAAATATTTTGAAAAGTACTATGCAGTTTAAAAATATCTCTTTAAAAAGATACAAACGATTAGACAAAATATGGACCTTTTAAAAGCAAAAATCTAAGCTTCCTGTTATGACAAGCAGAGTTTTATTTTGTGAGAGATTTGTTTTTACCTTCAACTTGTGAAGTGTAAGGACTGACACCACTTACTCATTTTCTTCTGTTTCAGGTGCGCATAATTTGCTCTGCATCGACTCCTTTATCAAGCTTATTTTTGCATCAACATCATGACAGTGAGTTGGAGCAAAGCAGAATACTGATGGATGATTTGGGGCTGAGCCAGGTAGGTGATATTAACATAATCTTTTTTTTTTTATTATTATAAAACAGCTTAATTGTTTTTGGTTTGATACATGGCTACATTTTGAAGAAGGAATGCAGTATATATTTAACCATTGATTTGCTGCTTTCTTCTAAAGCCAGTATAGCAGACTTTCTCTCAAGATCACTAAATATAGAGAATTACAGTCTTAGAATGGAAAGAATCTTAGTGATTATTTTTGCTTGTGACAAAAACAAAGTCAAGATTGGTGGACTAATAGGCACATGGTCACACTGCTGACTAATGGCAGGCCAGAGCTTATTCTGCTACACCATGCTACCTTTTCTGGATATTCTTCTTCATGTCTGCTGGATTTGTAGAGTGCCCGATATAGTGTCTAAGCATGTGGGCTGGCTCTGCCTGGACCATGGAATGCCTAGCAAGTCCCTTGGCTTAAAAAGAAATCCCAACCCCCATTCCGTAAACATTTATGGAGTACCTTTGGTGCCAGGTTCTGGGGATACTCTGTAGGGAACCAACCAATGCTGGCCCAGTTCTCGTGGTGCTTGGGGTCCGGTGATTCACTTCAGGCCAACCAGAAATGACTTTGCATTTCCTTCTGTATAAACGTAAATAAGCATTACAGGGTCTATTTCTCAACTGTAGACAATTGAAATTTTAGTTAATGTTATCTGATACCCTATACAAAAATTAACTCAAAATGGATTAAAGACTTGAAATAAGACCTGAAACGATAAAATATATAGAAGAAAACATAGGCACTAAACTTATGGACCTTGGTCTCAGAGGAGTTTTGTGAACTTGACACCAAAGGCAAGAGAAGTAAAAGAAAAAATTAAATGAATTAGACTGTATCAAACTAAAAAGCTTCTACACAGCAAAAAAGGCAACCCACTGATATAAGATATTTGCAAATGATACCTCTAATAAGGGGCTAATATCCAAAATATCCAAGAATTCATACAACTTAACAACAAAAATACAGACAATTTTATTAAAAAATGGGCAGAGTGCCTGAATAGACAATTTTTCAAGGAAGACATACAGATGGCTAACAGATGAAAAGATACTCAACATCACTAGTTATGAGGGAAATGCAAATCAAAACCACAATGAGATACCACCTCACAACTTTTAGAATGGCTGTTATCAATAAGACAAGAGATAATAAGTGTCAGAGATGATATGGAGAAAAGGGAACCCTTGCACACTGCTGTTGGGAATGTAAATTGGTGCAACTACTATGGAAAACAGTATGGAAGTTCCTCAAAAAAATTAATAATAGAACTGCCATATGACCCAGCAATTCCTCTTCTGAGTATCTACCTGAAAAATTTGAAAACATTTATTCATAAAGATATATGTACCCCTATGTTCATTGCTGCAGCATTATTCATAATAGCCAAGACATGGAAACAACCTCTGTGTCCTTCGACAGATGATCAAATAAAGAAGATGTGGTACATATATACAATGGAATACTACTCAGCCATGAAAGATGAAATATTGCCATTTGCAACAACCATGGATAGATCTCGAGCATATTATGCTAAATGAAATAAGTTAGATGGAAAAGGACAAGAACCATATGATTTCACTCTTATGTGGGATATAAAACAAAAAGCAACGAATGAACAAATGAAACATACAAATTCATAGATACAGACAACAGAATGGTGGTTACCAGAGGAGAAGGGAGGTGGGGGAAGGATGAAGAGGGTAAAGGGAGTCGACTGTGGTGATGGAAGGAGACTAGACTTCAGGTGGTGAGCACACAGCAGAATATACAGAGATTGTATTATAAAGTTGTGCACCTGAAATTTATGATGTTATTGACTAATGTTACCCCAATACCTTCCACTAAAAAAGAAATATTTGTCAAGAAGTTTCAATTATCTATAAATGTTCACCCCTAAAATGAGGGGAGCCTCATTCTTCCAACCCCAGAGGTAAAAAACCATTTGGAATGAGGAAAGAGTTCTTTATTGACCTGAGTAGAAGTTATGCATTCTCAGGAGTTTGGAAAATTGAGGCCAATAATTCTTTAAAAAGCAAACTTTCAAAATATGATTACTTAAACTTACATATAGAAATAAAGAGCTGCTAATAAATGCACGTGCTGAGACCTTTTGAAGCAATGGTTTCTCTAAGATCAGTACTTACATCCAGATAATTTCTTTGACAATTCAAAAGAATATACTTGAGAAGCTATATCATCTCAGTTTCTAAAATTTTTTAAATCATTAGCTTTTAGATCCCTCCCCCATATCAAGATCAGGGTTCAAATAGAAGGCAAAGTAAGTTCAGCACTCTGGGCCAATAATATATGAAGAAATCAGGGCCTGTGACTGCAGGGCCGCATGATTTGCAGTGGGTTAGTGGGGAACGTGGACTTTGGAGTCCACACCTTTTCTCTGAAAGAG